GTTTATACTCGGCGCGCCACGAGTCGCGTCGACAAAAAGGGGTCGGCCACAGGCGCCCGTTTTTGCGAAAACGCCGCGGTACGCAATGGGTTAAGGTTGTGACTCTCGTTTTTGTCAGAAAATGGGAGCTGTGAACACCTAGCCCATGTTATGTGAAATGTACGCTTACAGACCGCTCTACATTTACCTGTCCCGGTTTGAGCCAACCTTTGGAGTTTACGATGGTTCGTCTGGGGATGAAGCTAGACGAACATCTGGATTTTGGAGGGGTTTATTCTCGATCATTTTTCCTCTGTTTCTAATTAGTATGTGTCACGCACTCCTCCTCATTCGAAATCGTATCGTATAGGGCAATAAGTGCGTTGTGGAAGATTGTTGCTAGGCACGAATTCTCCAAATGGTTTCCTTGCAGCATACTTACCCTTTTGTCAACTCTTTCCAAAATTTTGGCGCCAACTAGACGGAGTGGGAAGGGGTGCAAGTACGCCTGTGACGGGAAAAGTCGACAATGAAAAGAAAAAAAATCTGGCACTTTTGACCCTCACTCCTATAACGTGAAGAACGGCCAGATTTTCACCGAGTTTTTTTTCTCCGAGGGTAGATTAGGCTTTAATTCGTCCTTAAGGTAGCTGGAACCCCTGAACACAAATGTCACATTCACCTGACAATGAGCACTAAGATAGTTATAGGCAGTTGGCACGATAATTTGGTCTTTGTCTAAAGTGGTAACAGGGGTGCTAAATAGTGGGGAAAATGGCGAGAAAGCGAAGTGGAACGGTCAAAAATCAGCAAAAAAGAATTTGTTCAACATGACTCAGAAAGCGATTCCGGGCGAGTTTCCTGCTAGATCGTGCCAATAACCGCTACGGTAGATACGGCTGCATGTGAGCATCCGGTACTGTCGTGGGCGGGCGGCGCTGTGGGCGTCCGGGTCGTATGTTTGCAGCTCTACAGGGCCTTATAAGGGTATCCTCCTCAAAAAGCGCTATGCGGCGCTCGCTCAGGGGCACCGGATTCGGCCCTGATATGCCTGTTAATCCTATACGTCTTGGTTATTTATCGTGCCAGCTGCCTTCAAGATTTAAGAAAGGTGAGAGTCACATGTCGTGGTTTTTTTCTGCTCATGAGTAACGGCGCGTTCTTGTCTATTTCTACAATAGCCAAATGGTCTTTCCCAGTCATCCGTTCGCGACTGCAGCTTCGCTCGTGGCACGAAAGTGCCTAGGGTCAGCGCTATAGGCGCTGAGGTCATCAGGTCTGCGGCGGTGGAGCCTGTGGCACGATGGCAGTCGTTTTTGTGCCGAGTGGATGTGATATTATTCGTGTTCAGAGGATCAAAAACCTTTGAGCAAATTCCGACAAAAAAAATTTGACCTGAATTTCGAAAACTGGGGCTTCAAACGGTGAACAGGGCTTAATTTTCCAAAGGACAAACAAAGGATAAGGATAAAGCTTCGCCGCTGATGAATCCCTTTTTGATGCTGCACGCATTCTGCTTCCCTCCAGAATCGATCGGCGTGATGTGGCTTATACAACGACTTGCGGGATATCCGTCCTGGGATAGAAGGCTTGGTTGACGTGAACAGAAGCCGACCCTGGATTTCACCCCTAGACCTGCACATGGTGAGCGCATCGCTACACCACTTCCGTCACAAGAGGCCAAATACCTCGTTATTTTTTCCGCAGTGATGATGTACCCTGGAGCCAATGCATGGAGGCTAGATGGATTCATCTAATCCATTAAGTATGTGCGTATATGACAAGCAATTACTTCATCCTCTACAAAAATAGTGTCTTGTGCTACTGTATACAGCCGCAGCGATAGTTGATTTCCTGGGAAGAAATATTTTTTGAAGGATGTAAAGGACTTATGGAACAAATTGTTTTGTTATGTCCCTATCTTGTATGCCCAACTGCTGCTAGCTAGACGCTGAAACCAACTGAGGACAGGCGCTGCAGTTGAAGAAACTCGCCGCGCTGGTTTTCATGTACACTGCAGATGTTGAAGTTCACCGGCATACGGAATTTCAGCGATTACACATTTTTTCAGCTTTTAACCAACTCGCCATAAGGCAAGCAGAGATGTGGATCAAGGTGAGGCAACTGTAGTAACTGCTAAAGATAAAGATAATTTTCCTGTCATCCACCAAAATGGTCTACGCTCTCATAACCTCGACTCACTGGGATGATCTGACAAGTTGGGAACCGATAACTAATTGGTGATTACCAGTCCAGGCACGTCCTGTCGTTAGGGAAAAATTCGGAGAATACGACCCATCCCTGAGAATGTCCTCCTTCGGTGCGATCCTCCTCCCCATCCTTTTTTCTCCACCTCCCGAAATTCTCCCAACTTTCTTCGAAGCTTTCTCCCAGAAAAAAAAATTGCCGTAGAAATGGAGGGGCGGGAGAGCAAATAGCGCACGTGAAACGGGAAAAAACCGAGCAAAGCCGTAACCGAAAACACTTTTTTCCTATGGTCAATCAATACGACCCTCCCCCCGTCTCGCTGCGAATTTCCAAAGTACGACGTGCCCTTTTGTCACTTCGATCGTCACCTTGTTTGGGAGCAGCGCACTTCACCAAGTAACTAGTCAAGACTTCATGATTCTGTGATTCTTAAACTAAGCAGGAAATAAGAGAAGTAAAGAAGTTTTCTGAAGTAAGCATGGAACTAATGGACTGATAGGTGTCGCGCGGGTAAGCTTACCTTCTCGAACAGATCGACATCTTCCAAACCCCATCCTTCAATTTTCGTATCGAATCCACCAATCGCAATAAGATCGGCCTGAAAGGAATGGACCTCATCAGTTTGTACATGAAATGTTCACAAAGCTTTCATATCGGGTCCCGAGAAAAAAGGCAAATAAAATAACAAAATACCGCTTAAACTACCTTGTATAGAGCGGCTAGCCCATAACCAAAATGCCTGAAATATCCTCTCCTTCGGCCGTAGTGGAATGCATCCGCAAGTAGACGATCGTTTTCGGACCAACTCTCGGGGGAGAATTCCGAGAACACGATAGGGAAGTAAACCTGAATTTAGCAGCAAACTTCGATCCAACTAGACAGGCAAAGCACTTTGATAGACTTGATACGTCGTAACCAGGTAAAGGAATGGCTAGCGGCGAAAAACTAGGGCCAAAGCTAAAAACAGAATAATGAGCCCACTTGAGCATTGAGGATCGTGTTCAGCCTGACTCGGTTCAAGGCATCACAGGTGAATAGCATGTCGACATCAGTGAAAAACATCAGTCCATCGGCTGGAACTCGATCGGCACCTTTCATCAGTGCTATTCCTCTACTAAATGGTGCGTCGTCCATTTCGATGACTTCGACTCGTACGAAACTTTGACGTAACTCTTCGATGGTCGCACTTGAAAAAATGACGATAATCAGCGCCTTGCAACCGTTTTCCCATGAAATACGAATTATATTGACCCTCTTACCGATTCTCTCGTTCGTCCTCGCTCGCATATAGAACAACTACCAAAGAAATATCGCCAGCTCTTGCGCACACATTTTTTAGATGACCCGCGAACCTATAACAATGAAACGCGATTCCTACGGATGCTTGGCAATGGATGGAATTCCATTCAAATGAATGCAGATTTCAAACATAGGATGAAGAAAAAATCGCCAGACCTAGCAAAAATTGCTGCACGCCCTTTCAACGGGAGAATCATATGCAAGTGAGCGTTTTCCCCGGTGAAATTGCTGCCTCTTCGAAGATTTGACCTAAAAAGAAACAAGGTGCTGCTCATTACCTAGTCAGCAGCTAGCAAGCAAATGCTCACATACCTCAAGTTCCTCTCAGATAGCGCCTGCAGGGGTGCGAACACCTGCTGTACGTAAGCATGTCGACGGACTGACAAAGTTGTTCGATGTGGCGGTCGGAACTTTTTGAACCTAAACAACGACTGCCGCTGAAACATCATTCTCTATAGATAAAGCGAATTATGTGCAAGAGGGGCCTGAAATGCCCCTCCAAAGGGCCTGAAATAAGGAGAAATTGATGGAAAAATGATGTCATCGAAACCACCAGCCCTGTTCCCAATCTACAAAGTGCACTGGGCCACGTTTCGCGAACGTTTTTGCATGTGGATAATAGCAGTGTGGAGCCTAGTAATCAGAAAATGCATACCATAGAATCATATCCAAGACGTAGTCGACTCCGAAGCGAGGTTCAACCCGCATATAGCCATACTGTAGACTTTGGAATTGGAGTACTCTTCCTCTTTGACGAGCATTCGAATTAAACTCTTCGAATAGCTGAAAAACGAACTGGCTAGGGAATCTTTAAACATCCTTCGGTTGACCAGTTTCACCGCCTATTCGCAAATTAAATAGTAGACTCATATGGATTCGTCAATGAACAGAAAAAAGTCTTACCTGCGTCACAATGTCACCCATTTCCGTCCTTATGCTCAAGTCTACTGTGTGCCTTGGGCAGTTCACACGATCGGCACAGAACAATATCTTATTATTGTTAATATAGTCCCATGGTGTAAGGTCTCGGGAGCTAAAAGCAAAAAGTTACTCGTCATAACTCTTGTGCACTCCCTAGAACCAATAGAACCCATTTAAGCTATAGGACAGGAGCAAAGATATTCGACTTCTGTGTAAGTAAGATTTCATCTACTCAAACAGGCCAAATTCTATCATAAGTCAATCTTGCGCCTCGAATTTGCTCATGAGAGCAAGCTTGGTTTTTGCTTGGATTATGGTTCAGGTCTTCGAGTAATTTCCCCAAAAGCGTAGTTAGAAAGCGAAAACGGAAGACTTCCCTAAATGCGTATGGCACGATAATTTGGTACTCGGTCTAAAATGCTAGCAGGGTGCTATATAGTGGGGAAAATGGCGAAAAACGAAGTGAAACGGTCAAAAACCTGCGAAGAAAAGCCTTCGTTCTTAATGACTCAGGAAACAATTTCGGACGAGTTTCCTGTTGGCATCGTGCCAATTACCGCTACGGTAGATACAGCTGCATGTAACTTCTCATATATCTATGCAGCACCGTGGCCGCTTCATATATACCATTTTCACTTCAAATTCACCCTTTTTCAAACCAAATTCACCCTTTTCAAACCAAATTCACCCCTTTTCAAACCAAATTCACCCCTTTCCAAACCAAATTCACCCCTTCCGAATCGAATTCACCCACCTTCCGAATCGAACTCACCAAGGCCGCAATTCATCAACCAAATCACGCCATACACTACTGCGGGCCCCGCCGCCTCGGTCACGCCCACTTGCTCTTTGCGGAATTTTGATATTTTTTCAATTTTGCATTTTTGGACTGCTACCTGAAGGTCCGCCCACTGTGAGAGGTCTCGTCCACTTTGGAGAAGCCACGCCCACCTTTCAAAAATGGTGTAAATCGGCAGTTTAGGGTCTTGGCTTTCATGCTAGGGTATTGCTGGTCATTCGGAACAAACTTTGCCTGATTTTCTTGTTCCGAGTGACGAACGAGACCCTAGCATGAAAGCCAAGACCCTATACTGCCGATTTACACCATTTTTGAAAAGTGGGCGGGGCTTCTCCAAAGTGGGCGGAGCCTCTCACAGTGGGCGGGGCTTCACGTAGCAGTCCAAATTTTTGAAAAATATCAAAATTCCGCAAAAAGCAAGTGGGCGTGGCCGAGGGGCGGGGCCCGCAGTAGTGTCTGGCGTGATTTGGTTGATGAATTGCGCAGCCTAATAAGTGTGGTGAATTCGATTCGGAAGGTGGGTGAATTCGATTGGAAGGTGGGTGAATTTGGTTTGAAAAAGGGTGAATTTGGTTTGAAAAAGGGCGAATTCAAAGTGAAAATGGTATAAATCCCTTTGCTCACATTTTAGTTGACAAACGCGAAAGGCGCGGTGGTAAGTTGCAGCCTGATAGGGATTTGGTAGGCTTTTGAGGGTACCTTCCTAAGAAAAGGCACTACGCGTCGAGTGCACGAGGGCGCGAAATTCCGTCCTGCCAAGCGTATCAACCCTACTCGCCTTAAGAATCTGTCGTGCCAGCTGCCTTCAATGTATACTTTACAGGACTTGCAGATGTTTCCGGAGAAAATGGAATATGAAAAAAGAAAACAAATTTTGAACAAATTTCGAACAGACAAGCGCCTTCAACAAAGCAGTGAAAACATCGAAAATCGACTTTAACGTGAAGGAGGCTTTCAATGGCTTATTCAGGGAACAGGTGACTTCAATATTATATCTTTGAGATTACTGGTAACAAAACTCGCAATTTTTCCTCTACAAGCTCCAAATCAACCTTGAAAGATTCTATAAAAGAGGAAAAAGATGTGTTGAGCTGTCAATTTAAAGACAGGCTGTACACTCACCACCGTCCTTGCCCCTGACGAATGGATCCACAGCTGCAGCAGCGTGTTACTTTTACCGCTCGAAAATGAAGGTGGAAGGGCTAGGGTAGTGACAGCCGAATGCTTTTTTCTATACTCCGCCCGCGCTATCTCAAGGTGCAGCAATTCTGTACCAACGTTCCGCAACGCTTCAAACAAGTACTCAGCAGTAGGAATCACTGGAAGAGAGAAGGCGAAGACACATTGGCTATGGTTAGGCCTGGGGCTGACCGTGCGAGCGTGGCTTAATATGGGGACGGCACTGGGGCCCAACCTCCAGCCTTTTTCACCTGCATTTTTGAGTGCCCGCTACTGCAGCTATGGACCCATTCTCCCAATATACGACAGGGACCGGAATGAGTGAACACTTTGTCTCCAAAAAGCCGGAACATCCGTTCAGGCTTTCATGTTCGAGCCTTGCCCATTTCATGACAATGCATTTTCATTAATATGATCACAACCGCCCACCTCTAGCTCTAAGACTTGACTTAGTCTAACCCTGAATGCTGTCCTTGGATACACAATCTTCTCGCTGCAGATTCTAGGGCGTGTCAGTGGGCTGCGTTTGGCGCAGTGCCAGTCGTCCGCTGTCCATCATTTGTTGTCACTGTAGATCGAAATGCAAGTTGCCTTTTCTGCAAATGCTATAGAACGGACTGGCGCCGCGACAAACCCGGCCCCGTTGATATGCCCCAGCGTCCGCAGCGACCTCCCCCTTCCAGTTCTGATAGAAACATTCGAAACGGAATCTTTTTTAAATATTTTTTTGGTAGTGTTGGTCCTCATCCCACTTCCAAAGCGATTGAAAAGGCGGTCAATCTTAGCGTTAACACGAATCGATTCCATGATTCCTTGAAATGTACATCACCACCTTCACTTTTTTTTGCAAAGAATTTGGTGTTGATTTGTGAATTGAATTTTATAATCTACAAGTGTGCATGAAACGTTTGACCAGAGTTACTCCCCTCACCTGTTTGGCATGATCCGTATCAAAGTAGGCTGTTGTACATCACTGCGTTCCGTACGCAAGGACACTCGTCGTGCCCGTAATGCTTGAAGATGAAATGCACGATCATGAGCATGAACGCGACGCATTACTGCTGGATCTTTGATGGGATGTACTGTTATGGCGGCCCTGACCTCCGATAAATCGCCCGTATACGCCTGAAAAAGCTCATACTCATCCGTCATCGTCATCATCGGCAATCAGTGGAACAATGAGAAACGCTTCACGCTCGTACTTAAATGGCAACGCCTAGTCAAACTCGTTGCTTAGCAGAACGTTTGATCAGAACTGGTTTGTTCATAATCATTTAAGAAACCTCTGTTAACGTAGTTACACTGTAAACAAAGACAATGCTAACCCTGGACGTGGTCTGGTTGTTGTGAAACAACTTTTGCATCTCATAGTTCCACGTGCAGGCCACACCAACGTGCCGTCGAATGCATCTACCGAGTTCAACGTCTTCATGTGTCGTTAGTAAATGCTGGAGACATGACTCAAGATGTGGAGAGAGCAATCTGAACGAAGACATCTGCGCTCATGAAAAACTCTCTGCAAAGGTTTCGTGAGTGATTAATAGGCATATGGCACGATAATTTGGTACTCGGCTCTGAAATGCTAGCAGGGTGCCATATAGTGGGGAAAATGGCGAAAAAACGAAGTGAAACGGTCAAAAACCTGCAAAAAAGCCTTTGTTCTACACGACTCAAAAGCAATTTCGGACGAGTTTCCCGTTGGCGTCGTGCCAATAACCACTACAGTAGATACGACTGCACATGCAGCCGCTTCATATCAATCCCTTCGCAACCGTACCTGATGTTCGTATTGATTACTTATTGTTAGCAAAGTAAGCAATACGAATATCAGGTATGGTTCCATTTGTGGGCGAGAAGGCCCTGTGCGCGTCCAGGTCGGTATGTTGCAGACTGATTGGGCCTTATAAGAGTACCTCCCTCGGAAAAAGCGCTACGCAGCGCCTGCTGAGGAGCGCGGAACTCATCCTGCAAAGCGTATTGGTCCTACTCGTCTTAGGAACTAATATTGCTTTACTAATTTATTTCTAACTTGATTGGGAGTACCTCCCTCGGAAAAAGCGCTACGCAGCGCCTGCTGAGGAGCGCGGAACTCATCCTGCAAAGCGTATTGGTCCTACTCGTCTTAGGAACTAATCGTGCTTTACTAACTTATTTCTAACTTTCTCTCAGTGGATCCTGCCGCGGAAGTCTAGAGCGCCATTATATGAGGAAGGAAGACGATCGGATGGTGCAGCTGGCATAAGTTTCAGGCCGCACTGGCCTTAATTGCCACCCCACCGTTGTCTGCCTTGCATCTTCTACTACGGGTAACTCGCCATCCCACTCAGGATAATTACTAGGTCGCAGATTCACTGATTATACAAAAACCAGTCTGGCTGACGCGCATTTCTGCGCGCATGGTTAAACCTATGTTACTGATAACTGACAGGATTTCTGTGCTGAGCACTAACACTTAGCCTAATTCCTATGTTTCCAAAACGGCCCATTTCATCATGTTTCTCCCTTTTAATGAACACTTGCCAATGTTAGGTTCTTATCATATTTCTAAAAGCACCATTCGTTGGAAATAGGACAGCATAGCGGTTGGAAGGATTCCGATGGTAAAAATATCGAAATCATAGTGGCTCTTATCATTCCTCACTGGCAACAACTCCAAACATCCTTTTTCGGGGAACTCGAGCGTTTAGCGGTGGAAGCAAGTCCGACCGCTAAACTGAGAGAACTCACTAAGCCTTCGCCCATTGATTCTTTGGCTACGGTGATGTGAGCAGATACGGACTCCCAAAAGCCCTTGTCGGACACTGTCAGAATTTATCTCCCACCTTTAATGTTCCCTAAGCACCTGAATTACTTGCTGGAGCAGTTCCCAGTGTTGCTACAACTCTGCTGTGAATTTTCCTGGCTATCTTATCAGCTGTTATCAATTCCTGCCACCCGCCAATAATGTTCCCATCCTGCCCCCTGTCTTACTTCTTGGAACCAACGTCCCGTCGTTGCTGTAGCGCACGTTATGGAGTTGGTGACCCTCGCTTTCTAAGTCCCCTTATGGTATCTTATCAGCTGTTATCAATTCCTGCCACCCACCAATAATGTTCCCATCCTGCCCCCTATCTTACTTCTTGGAACCAATGTCCCGTCGTTGCTGTGGCCGGTGCTATGAATTTAATGACCCTCGCTTTCTAAGACCCCTTATGGTATCTTATCAGCTGTTATCAATTCCTGCCCCCTATCTTACTTCTTGGAATCAAAGTCCTAGCGTTGCTGTGACGCGCGTTATGGAGTTGGTGACCCTCGCTTTCTAAGACCCCCTATGGTATCTTATCAGCTCTTATCACTTCCTGCCGCTCACCAATAGTGATCCTGCCCGACCTCCTACATCACTCATAAGTTTGAACTCCTTGCGATGAAATCAAAGGGAGTTACGAATTTCCGGTCAAACACACATACAGACACACAAACATTCACATACACACACACCAACGGACAAGCTTAGCGGATTATATATGTAGGATCATTGACCTGGTATGTCGGCTGGTAGGTCTATTAATGCGTAAGAGAGAGCCTCAATAACTGGAATTCGAATGGTGCTGATGTGTTATCCGGAGTAGAAGATGCAATGCAGAGACACCATGGGGGTGGTAATACGGCCAATACGTCCCCATCAGGGGGGGGGTCGTGTTTGGTCTAAGAAGATTTTTTGGCACTATTCAACTATTACTACCCCAGATTTCCGGAAACGGGCCGGATTTGATCGACTTTTTTCTACGGGGGTGGATTTGGCTGAAAGTTGGGTTCTAGGGGTAATTCGACCTCCTGAACACGAATATCACATCCGCTCCTCTCGAAACCGCCTGGCGCCCGCGCCACAGGCGCCGGCGCCAAAGTACCCTAGATCACGAAATCCGCTGAAAACTTGTACCTAGGGGTAGTTTGACCTCCTAATCACGAATATCACATTCCCTCGGCTTGAAACCGCTCCGCGTCCGCGCTACGGGCGCCGGCGCCAAAATGCCCCAAATCACTGGCGCCTATGGCGCGGGCGCCAGGCAATTTCAGGCCAAGTGGATGTGATATTCGTGCAAACTTTCAGCCAAATCCACCCCCGTAGAAAAAAGTCGATCAAGATCCGGCCTGTTTTCGCAAAACTGGGGTAGTAATAGTTGAATAGTGCCGATTTTTTTGATAGCTGTTTTCTATCTGTACGAGCGCTATCTATATGGTTAGGAGAGCTCCACTGAGGCGGGAAGGTGTCTATTCGCTCGTCGTTGCTGGAGGGGGGGGGGTCATAATTACCTTCTCAATCAGCTCCAGGAAAATTTTTTCCGGTCATTGATTTTTCACGCTTTTTCCCGTTTGTCATGTGCTATGTAGGATGGGGAAGGAGGACGGGGGGGGGGTCGTAATACAGAGGAAGAAATTTGAGGGGAGGGGGAGGATGCTCTGAGTGGGTGAACCAGTTCTCCATGTGCAGGCCACAGCAAGTTGGATTTTGCGATAAGCCTTTATCACAGACCCACCGCTTAGGACGTAGATGATAGCAGAACATTGACAAAATGGCTCAAACAACCGTGTTCAAGCATTTCTTGAGGCGCTAAGGAACTTAAAGATATACCGTAACGTCTCTCTGCTCATCACCACTCCTGGACCACCCATACAGTAGTTGTCAGTGGAGCCTAAAGCTAGCAGTCCGTACTCGGCGCTATTCCCCAGACCCGCTTGACCAATGGCGTGAGCTCTGGAAAACATATTAACAAGGTTAATGATCTAACAGTTAATATCGAGAAAGAACATCAAACCTTGAAGAGTCCAATGAGCGAAGGAACTTTTCCAACTCACTACCTCGGACGTATAAATCATCGTCAGCTCTGAGAAACCAATCGAACTCGTCCAGCTGGAAAACGATGACATGCAAGTGAGGTAAAACAGAGCCAAAAATTTTCTTCGTTCTATGGTATCTCTCTCTCTCAGGTAGCAGAGCGCCTCAAATCAAAGATCATAGAGCTGTTGTTAGCGCACTGCTGAATGCTGACCTACAACCAAAGCAGCTGAATCACCTCAGTGTTACGGAAATAGAAATGTTGCATTGGACCCCAGCGTCCCGCGTTTGAATCGTTTTTGTAACTGCCAAAAGCAAGAGATTCGGCGTTGCTCCAACAGCTGATAAAATGGTCGAATCTTGCCTGCAGTGATATGGCCATGTATTGCGCGTGAAGTGTGGCAGCGCTCGTCTCTGGTCTCCAGCTGGTCTTCAGCTCAGGGAGCTCAGAAACCATGGCCAGGAATGCGCAAACAATGCTGGCTCGAAAGGTTGCACGCACACTTTGGAAAAGTTGATGCATTCCAACCAGGCATTCAGTCGGGAGAAGTGGCATCATTATAGCAGAAGAGCAGACCCCGTTACAGAGTGGGACAAACGCTCAAGAAAAAGACAGGTCGTTCCAGGTTGATACTTTTCGCAATTTCAGCTCCAACTGTCGCAATTTCACGTTGAAATCTGCAAAATTCTGAGGTACTGCAGTAAAGTTGGTTATGTTTCTGCACTTCCCTTCACTGCACAATTTTATGCAGCAATACACGACGTTAGCCATAACTTCGTCATTGTTTCTACGAATTATTTCGGATAGATTTGCAAGGCGGAGCGAATGACACTTCTTAAGAGCTGAAGGATTGGAAAGTGCACGTCGACGTAGGACTACTTTCCAGTTTAAAATCGAAAAAGTTGATGAGACCAAGCAACGACAGGCAAAATTGCATTTCTAGCCTCCTATTCAAAAATCAGGGCATTTGAAACTTTCTTCTAAAATGTGATCTAAGCGTGAAATCTAAAACTGCATAAAAAGTTGGAGAAATTGGGGAAAAATCTGAATTTTTCACATTCCATAATTCCTTGACATATTACTGTCGTGACAAGAACCCTGGTTTCATGATCATTTTTGTTCTGCTTTTACCAGCGTTGTAATGCAGCCGGAAACATCGAAAATTTTCTCCTCTACGCGCACAAAGGCGGAAAAGCCTCACCTCGAAGCTGGTTTCACACTGCTATGCCGAGCGGAATAATGCGGTTGCGGTTCATATGGCGCAACCTAACGCCTTTCAAATGTGTCACTAATTTCAAGCAACATCCCTATCTGGGAGGACCATCAGCTTTTCAGCAGAAGGCACCGTAGCTGGAAATGGTGTCGAGAACTGCTTCACTTGTACTGAATAGACTTTTTTAGAAAGCCTTGGCCGTTGGTAATCCCTTTCCAGGATGTTCCATGAATCATGCAGTCACGAGCCCTGCCAGCATAGGGCGCATGACGCGGCGGGTATTGAAGGACAGCAACGGCACCGTTCCCACCACTGATGCCATACGGAGCTCGCTACAACTGGTGGGAAATCTGATCAGACTGCGCTCCGAACCATACCCCCGTCAGACGTTCCATCGTTTACAGGTAACATGGCTGTACTTCCACTGAGAATCGTATTGGGTCATTGACTGCAACATGGAATACTGATTTGCAGGGGCCGGTAATCATCCACGAGCATTAGTTTTTTACTCCCCGACGAATCTCGTATTAATACGACACCCTTGTAGGGTAAAACGCATGACTGGCGGAGCAAAAGCCGACCCGGGATTTGACCCTCAGACCGCGCGCACGATAAAGATGTCACTTGCCACTACACTAATTTTGCCTTGTGCTTTTCTATGACACCAAAAAGCTGAGGAATTATCAATAAAAGATATGAAAGTTTCCTAACCAAGAAAAACGCATGAACTTTTCTCCATGCTGTGTCTCTGTATCTAGGCAATTACTAACTAAATTTCTATTTATTTATCTATTGGGACCGCCATCTAAAGATAGCATTTCGTGCAAATTTAAAGACCGTTTAGGTAAGCCACGCGTATGGGTTCACTCAGAATCACGCAGGCCTTTGAATAAGTCGACAACCAATGAACTCACTCTAGAGGAAAGAGGAAAGCTTGTGCGGTCTGAAGACTTGTCTAACGCAGACAGTAGCGGAATGATGGTCACAGAATGTTAGTGCTCATCTTCACCCTACATTCGGTCCTCGCATCCACGAAAAATAGTATTTCAGCATGAGGCACACAAAACCAAAGTTGTGGTGGTAGAGTGAAGTGATTTTTCGAAGTATTTCGCAAAGACGGAGGTGGTTGGTAGCAACTGTCACACTTAGCACGAGCATGGTCCGGGGAGCAAAGTCTTGACCGGCTTCCCATGTCAATAAGCCTTCTATCCTCCGGGGAAGGTTAATTGGTATCAAATGTGTTCAAGAGCATAAGTACATGGTCTCTACATTAGTTGGCCTTCGCAATCATTGTATAGACCACATCGCAATGCAATGAGCCGCTACGATCCTGAATGGAAGTGGAATGCGAGCCGTATCCTGAAAAAGGAATGATCTTTTGCATGAGTCACCAACTGATGCAAAAGGAATTGAAGCTTCCTGCCCTGACACAGAGCTGATCCTTGTCCGAATACTGTATTTCGATTATATTCTTGGACACCACGTGCACACATTAACCGCCACCTGTTACTCACATGATAACCTCCAGTAGAAGCTCGCTTGTTACTAAGACGCTCCACTATTTTTCGCAAAAATTTCACCACTACACCCGTCAACTCATCAAACAATAGAGGTCATACACGACGTTTCCGACAACTGATTCGCCATGAGATGCTCCTGGAGATGCCAGCAATATTGTTATAGCTTGACAACAAGATAGAGATAGACCAAGACAAATTTGCTGATTTTGTCTCCAAGGAACATGTCAAGATTCGCAGAGAGTCGCACTTGGGCTCTTGGAGTGCTCTTTTCAATGCATCGTACTGGGGCCGTATCGTTCACCCCCTGCTAAGTATTATAGTACATCAAAGGCAGTTGGCACGATAATTAGGTACTCGGTCTAAAATGCAGACACTATGAGCAGGGCACTATATAGTGAGAAATTAGCGAAAAAATCAACTGAAACGGTCAAAAATTTGCGGAGTAAAGCCTTCGTTCTTAATGACTCGAAAAGCAATTTCGGACGAGTTTCCCGTAGGCATCTTGCCAATAACCGCTACAGTAGGTACGTATGTACTCATATATCCATGCAGCACCGCGGCCGCTTCATAGCAATCCCTTCCGCGGTGGGCGTTCGGGTCGGTAAGTTGTAGCTTGATAGCGCCCTTATAAGGGTACCTTCCCTGGAAAAGGTGTTACGCAGCGCCTGCTCAGGGTCGCGGAATTCCGTCCTGCCAGGCGTATCAGTGCTACTCGTCATAGGATTTATCGTGCCAACTGCCTTTAAGTACGCTCATTAAGCTATCAGTGGACGGAGGCGCTTTGTTACACCTGATTACGTAGGGCTAGACCTCTATCAACAAAAACTTGACTGTTGTTCACAAAAAACACCACCACCAGCACCAACACCACCACCATCACCACCTCGACCCTCCACGAACGCTGAAATGTAAAGGTAGCAGGCGCAATGCGATGTGTCCACGGCTCATCAAACACTGTGAACGAGCGGAAAATATGAGAAATTATCGAAAGGAGCACAACAACTGTGGCGGCCTTCAACTAACGCAATGGAAGATACTGAATGGCGAACTCGCTGGTTATACGAGCTGGTTACATTTCATCATGTCAGCCACTTATGAGGTTATACACACCCTCACACGGGTAGATTTCCAAACAATCACTCATGCGGGAAAAAGAAGGCCAATAAGAGTTTGGTTATTCACAGCTGGACTTACATAATTCTCCGCCATCCATTTAACCATCGCAAAGCTTTTCTTTTGCGGTGGATACGTGTCGTCGACGCCTTTCAGACGAATGAGCGGCAGATCCGGATGGATGGATTCTGTATGCTCCGCCACGAAAAACAGCACCTGAGCAACATCAACTGACTTTTTTCTCCAAGATTGTAGTTGACGAATAATAACTGTGAGAAAAAGCTAACCGCCGCAGACAAATAGAAGGGCTGTTTAGCAATAAGACATACTTTGCCTGGAACGTGTTTCGCCCATGTCTTCCAGACATTATAGGCTCGCGTATCGACGTACTTCGCCGCCGTCATGATACCCATCAGAATCAGGCCAGTTCGCTGCTGAGTTTCGAACAATTGTTCGCATTCTCGTGACGTTGACCGCCTCTGAAGCCGAGCAACAGACGACACACAGTAACTAAAACGAGTCATGATTAAGAACATCAAGAGAAAACCGCAGAATATTTGTCTTCTAAGATTTGAGGAATTATCACCTGATGCAGACCGTCGAGGCAAGTGAAAACATGCGGAACCCAAGATTCTAAGAATAGCTACAGCTGAAAGGCCAGCACATGGCTGCCCTCAGTCCGGGCTCTACTATTCCTTTCCCCTAGAGTTCTCAAGATTGCTGCGTCCCTCTCCAGTATATCTGAACCATACTGTGATCCCTCTGTCTTATACTAATTATCTTTATGTGGCAAAGCCCCAAAATGTAGTTTTTGGGCTTGGAAACCGCGCTATGTATGTCCGAAAGATAGTATCAGGCTGCGTTCGTAGGTGCGTCAGCGTAAGTCGGCATACGCTGACCATCGCTGGATCAATATCTGTACTATTCCAGTTGCAGGCACAGGCGTCTGACGCAAAGTATGAACGCGCCCCACTAGGCATCAATCGATGCGTCTCCTAGCAGCATACAAATTAAAGGGCACTATTGAACTATTCCTACCCCAAAAACTCAAAAAAAATTTTTCGCTGAAACGTTGCCTATTGTAATTCGATGCGCTGATCACGAATATACATCCGTTTTGAGCGCTGGCGTCATTTGGCGCCATTATGCGCCAATTTGGCGCCCACCACTTTTTTCACCAAAGTCGATGAAAACTTGCATATGGGGGTTAATTGAGGTCCTGATTACGAATCCAACATTTATTTTTGGCGCTGGCGCCATTTGGCGCCATTACGCGCTCATTCGGCGCTATATTGGCGCATAATGGCGCCAAATGGCGCCAGCGCCAAAAATAAATGTTGGATTCGTAATCAGGACCTCAATTAACCCCCATATGCAAGTTTTCATCGACTTTGGTGAAAAAAGTGGTGGGCGCCAAATTGGCGCATAATGGCGCCAAATGACGCCAGCGCTCAAAACGGATGTTATATTCGTGATCAGCGCATCGAATTACATCTATAGGCAACGTTTCAGCGAAAAAAATTTTTTTTGAGTTTTTTGGGGTAGGAATAGTTCAATAGTGCCATTAAAGGCAGTTGGCACGATGATTTGGTGCTCGGCCTAAAATGCTAGTAGGGCGCTGTATAGTGGGGAAATGGCGAAAGAACGGAGTGAAACGGTCAAAATCCTGCGAAGAAAGAGCCTCCGTTCTCAATGACTTGAAATCAATTTTGGACGAGTTTCCCGTAGGCATCTTGCCAATAACCGCTACCGAAGGTACGGCTGCATATGTGTACTCATATATCCATGCAGCATCACGGCCGCTTCATACCAATCCCTTCGCTTCATAATTTACTTAGCAAATGAAGCAGTACGAGCGTCAGGAACGGTCGTCCATTTGTGGGCGGGCGGGCGTGGCGGGCGTTCGGGTCGTAATGTTGTAGCTTCATAGGGCCCTTATAAGGGCACCTTCCTTGGGAAAGGCGCTATGCAGCGCCTGCTCAGGGTCGCGGAATTCCGTCCTGCCAGGCGTATTAATCCTACTCGTCTTGGGCCAACTGCCTTTAAACGATCCAGAAAAGACGCAGAGCACAAAGAACAACCATACAGTTTGCTTATAGAACTTCTATGAAAACAACGCACATTAGTAAACAAACTCACGTCAAGGACAGGCCTAGTAGAGTTCCAATCAAAGTGAGAAAGACGGGACGCGATACGGGCATATTATACGTCTGAAAAATTAAATTCGTGAGTAACTTACAGTTCAACCAAAGCTTGTGAACCCTATTAATCACTCAATTGAATTTTAGCATCCAGCCATTTTTTTGAAAGATCATGAGACCAAGGCCACTCCACGTGACATGCATGAAAGTGTCGCTGAAGGGACCAAAATATCAAATATCTAGAAAGTAAAGTAAGTCTTTTGGTAAGGGGCATTTCCGTTCTTCAAATTTCACAAGATGCTTGAAATGAGAAGATAACTAGAATCCGATGTATAAGTCTTTTATGGGTGCTGTTCCACTTGGGTAAGACCTGTAAACTCCTGCGAAACTGCAAAACTGTTTGAATGAGCCTATTTGTCATGGCATTTACAAGTTTTCACAATATGACCTGTACAAGTTTAGTCGAGTACCACTCAGTGCCCCCACTGCGCTCGTTTATCTTCCTCAAAGACCACTTAACAGCCATGTTTATTGATAGGTTTTCTTCCATGATTAAGAGGGGCCACTGCGACCACTGAAAATGCCAAAGGAAATTCTGCAAGCAAACACTTACCCCTTTCAATCTCATCGGTTATTGTCAGCTTCAGATTGACAGTAACAACACTCAAACAATATCAGCTCCTAGATGAATGGGTGTCAACCCAAAAACACCGTAATGACGCCGTCTTCGATATCGGTCTCTGGTATACAGGTGTGTCTAAAAACTTGCGAAGTGATGAATTTTCATCCAGAAACATACACACGGAACCACGGCAAAATACATTTGACAGACACCGCGACGGCCGGGCGCGCGTAAACACAACAGAAGTGAGCGCAGCTATCCACCTGACTCAAAAACAACGGCTATTCACTTTGTGCGTGCGTCTATGCGGAGTTACCGGGTTGAACGCTAAATGACCACGAGGAATGATTACGTTGAAACAGCGTGATAACGAAAGTGTGCGATCTCAAAGGGCAAGCGACTAGTGTGCTACTTGAATGATCTGACTCGCTGCCTTCGCTCTGAGAACTTGAAAAATGTCAAGGGGCAGTTCGGCAACAAGGGAGGGGCATTTTGCACTCCTGCTGGTTCCCATCGACATGTCAACCCATATAGAGAGCAATTTCGTGAGGTTGCAAGAGTTTACAGGTTTACCACGGTTTCGACAAGCTTGCTCTAGCTTCACAAGTGTTCACAGGTTTCACAACAGTTAGCTTTGTAAACCGAAACTAGTATAGCAGCAAAACTTCAAGATGCCACCTTCGCTCCCCCACCCCCTCGCCGAACAGCCGACGGTCAGTCGTGGTCAAGACCGGCATCGACGCGCGCACGTCGCACCAAAACGGCTATTGCCCGTACTTCAACGACATACCCAAATGTGGTACGTTAAGATTCAACCATGAGAAACAAATTCAAAAAAATTAGTTCACAACGGATACAAAAGAAAGTGCTGATGGTGAGTGATTGCAAGAAATTTGGGATAGAGAAGAGAGCAGTCGCGATGTTACACCACACTGCAGAGGAAATTATGGTTACGATTGAAAAACGCCCGAAAGCCGAATAGGGCCTATTTTATGGCGCCCCTATGCGATCGCTCTCAGCGAAAAACCAAAGCGCATCTCCACGCACTTAGATGTGACAGCCAAAAAGGATTGGAACCTCCACATTATTATTTCATTCCTTGCGACTGTCAAATACACCCAAGGAAGACTGATCGTCGTAAACTATAGCTGTCAGCAAACAGAATAAGTTCCAAGTTTACAGCCCGTCTTAATTTCCAGGGATTCGGTTCCGCATCATTTCGGCTACTTCCTCCTTCTTTCAAAAAGCTCCTCATTAAAAGACAGCCTCCGCGCTCGAGTAGTACATGGTCGTCCTTCCTTGTGCAAGTAGTACAGCCCCCAAGCTAGAGACTGTCCCACTCTCGCAACTCCACAGCGAGCGATTAGCGAGCTACAGCCGCTGAAAGTTCTAGTTCTAACGCCGCCCAGTTGGACCGCCCACTTGCTAGACCCTCTGACGGAGACCGCTCAGTTGTTCTTTGTTGGGGCGGCGGCATTAATCGGAATTGCATGTCCTTTTTGCTGACCGCGCTCGTGCCCATGAATGATTCTGCTCTCCTTTATTACATTTTATTTATTAGGAGCACATACAGTCAACTCCAACCCATCTCGCAAGGTAAAACGCGTAAAATCACGAGCGACCCAATTTTCGTGGTGCAAAAGCTCGACGCACTTCACTACACTAAAAGATGCACGCTACCGTAACCCTAAATTCAGACGCCTAGTTTTTGAAAGTTTCTTTTCCTTTTCAAGAGTTTTTCTTCCGTGTTTTTGTTTTTCGTATTCTTTTCATTGCATTGGATGATACCCACTACTGGGAGATGTGATAAAGGAATTTGTGAGCCAGGGGTTGCACAGAGACCGCAGGAAGGTGGCCAGGAGCGATTTTGTTTATGGTGTTCTTGAGGACTCTTCTTGCTTTTTCTTCTTTGGGGAATTACTTATCAGCTACTGTTTCATAATTGAACAGCAACTATCCATGACTTTTTATCGCGGGAGCTGTCTTTAGAAATAATATACTGAACAAATGTTCAACGGCACTTGATAATATTAGGCTGGTGAGAACGTATCATCAGTTTCGTGGTATTTTTTTTCTTTTTTTTGATTCTACGTACAATGAAAACTAATCCAAACAACAATATAGGCGCCACTGTTAGCCCCTACAGTTCTCCAGCTAACAGGCAGGGTCAACGATTTCCCTCATAGAGAACTGGGAAGACCGTGATTCAATGAATTATGTTGGACACCTCTGGTTTAACGTTCTGGTGCACGTTTCATAGCCAAGGAAGCCTTAAGGGTTGGAAAAAGGGCTGAACCTGAACCACTCCGACAGCTTGCAACCATTTCTCTCAAGAGGCCATTTATCCCTCCCGATCACAGCAAGATGAGCCCTCTAAATAAAATGCAGTTATTCAGGGCGGCAATACATTACAGATACTTAACAACAAACACCGCGATTGCGTACTAGTGGCTTTCGATCAGAAATCTATATTCGCTATTTAACCTTCCAAGTAAAAAAAAAGCAAAAAAATCATGGAGGACCTCTAATCAAGGGTCTAACATCCCCTCTGGACTAGTTGTCCAGCCTGCTCGTTTTATGCCAAGGAAGCATCTGCCACCTCTGACTCACTAATCATTTCTTCGCGTTATCCAATGCTAATACCATCCAACGGTGAAAAAAAACGAAAAAAAAACTCGGTGTAAAAGCTGAACTCATAACTGAAAATAACATAGCGCCTGTTAATTTCGTGGACGGAACAACCACGGAGGTGTCAGAACTGCCTCTTATGAGGACCACAGCGTTTCGTTACTTACTGTGAGGCTGCGACAATCCGATAATATCAGGGAATGAGAAGCAGACTGCTTGCAAGGAAGGACGCCTACGATTTGCTTGAGCGCGGGGACTGTCTATAACATCATATTTGAGGGCTTGAAATAGCTGATTTTTGGGAGGTATGCCGAGTATCGATAGCTTTTAACGGATTTCTGTGATAATTCCGTCCCATTGATTCTGTTCACTGATCCCAGAAAGAAACAGCTGTTGGAACAGCTAGCTAAATAAGATCACATCCCAGAGGCAGGTACGCCAACGTGCAAAGTAGTAACTATGAGGTCATCGCCAACTAAAACAACTCTCCCGTTGTGGACTGCTCGTCATTCGTTGCCGCGGTGGCATTCATATAAGACAATTGTCGAGTATCCTCATGCCACACTGCACCGTGGTTCATACTCAAAAAGAGTTGAGTCACCAGTCGCCGGCTAACGCCGGCGCGCCTTCTTTTGATACGGCCCGGCTTCGCCGCGCGTATTTTCTTTCACATATTTCTAGACTCAACTGATATCCGCCTTTTGTTCTGTACACTTTTTTCCGGTGTCTGAAGTACTCTTGAGCTATTTTACAGATTCTTCGTCTGACTCCGCCCACCTCGGAGCAGGCTCCGCCCACAATGTTTTTGCCCCAGAATCCTCACGGGCGACCCTCTACTTTCCGGTGTCTGGTGTGTTCTGGAACCGAGCTACAACTTTAAAATGAATGGGCAAGCTCCCCACTGTGGGCGGGTCTCAACACACTTTGAGCGTGCCCTATATTCGCCAGATATTTACATTCTACACTGAGTTTTTTGCGACTTCCAAACACTCTCGCGAACCGGGTTACTGAATTTTGCGAGAAGCACCGCCCACCTTGAGTACGCCCCGCCCATTTAGGGTGCTGCCACAGTTAGTCTGGCGACTCCTTACTAACCTTATTCCCTTTTCCCCATCTTTAAGCTGCTCCGGAAGCGAATTATGAACATTTTTCTGCGGAACCCCAAACTTTCGGCGAGTGCCCCGCCCACTGGGGGGGCTTCCCATAGGTCAAGTGTGCTTTTTATTTCTTGTCCCATGCCCTACCCTATCCCCACCTTGACTGGACCTCTCCAAGTCGTTCTTCAGGTCGAACCGAATTTCCGGACAGACAAACAAACTTACAAACAAACAAACAGACGAAGCGAATTATATAATACCAGTCGGATCGCCGGCTGGACGCGGCGCCGGCTCGCCCGCGCAGCCGCGCGTGCTTTCTTCATATTTCTAGATTCAACTGATATCCCCTTTTGTTCTGTACTCCACTTTTTCCGGTGTCTGAAGTACTCTTGAGCTATTTTACAGATTCTTCGTCTGACTCCGCCCACCTCGGAGCAGCCCCGCCCACAATGTTTGTGCCCCACAATCCTCACCGGCGACCCTCTGCTGACCTTAATCCACTTTTTCCGGTCTTTGAAGTGCTCTGGGACAGTTTTAGAGAATTTTCGTCTGGCTCCGCCCACCTCGGAGCAGGCTCCGCCCACAATGTTTTTGCCCCACAATCCTACCGACGACCCTCTGCTGACCTTAATCCACTTTTTTTTCCGGTGTGTGGTGTGTTCTGGAACCGTTCTAGAGAATTTTTGTCCGGCTCCGCCCCCATTTTTGTGCCC